GCACTGGTGCAGTTTCTAACACTGACATATATGAAACAATAGTTAGTCCTCACTCATTTCTCAGTCATGTCTGTCCAGTCAAGTTCAGCAAGGATGACATATGGTTCAGTCAGTGCTCATGATGATTGGGCAACCTTTAAACTTTAACCTTTAAGCCATATTCCTAGAGGAATGGAAGACGATCATGAAATAAAAGATAAAAAGAACTGAAAAGTGACAGACAGCGAGAATTGATACTTTATTGATCAATAATTTACTAACTTAATGTTATTTGACAGAAAAGACTACAAGGGGACCTGAAGCAAGTATTCTAAATCCTTAAAGGCACTGACAATGTCGAGCCAATGTACTTCATCCGCGTGCGTAGCAAAACACGGATCACAGGACACTGAGGGAAACTGTATGTATACGTGTGAGAAAAACAATAAATATTGTACAGTTGTACAGTTGAGTGAATGAAACGCAAAAAGAATCAGAATGAAAAAGTGTATGAGGGACACGCCAATCATCACACAACTAGTGTGAATAGATTTAACAGTTGGTAAGAAGCATGTCCAGGCACAGACTCAAATAAACCAGTAGTCCCATCCTAACAGTGAAGGATGAGTGAAGGCTGTCCAGGACTCAGCCGATTCTCTACGAACAGAAAAAGCTAACATTCAATAGTCTTTGCTATAAAAGCTTTAAAAATAAAAGCACACGTGCAATGAATTCCACATTAATTGATAAAAAATATATATTTAAGATGAAAGGTCTAAAATAAACAAATACATGTAAATAATCAATTACAAGTTTTTTAAAAAGCTGAAAAAACCCTGTGCTCTAATAAAAGTTAAACACAAAGGCAAAGAAGCCAAAAGTAAACTTTGGTTCAAAGAAACATGAAATCACATGGTTAACATTTAGAGTGTGTACTTCATACACACAACCGATTGAACACCAGTGGCAAAAAATGCCTGGTTGGTCACAGAAATTAACCCATAGCTGGCTCTCTATCGCTGGCAACAAGTATATAGAAATAAATGATCACCATCACCTCAGGTGAGTCAGGTTTCAGAAAAGCAAGCAGTCAAATGTTAAACCACGTCTGAAATGTTAAGTTAAAAAGCCCACTTGCACTCAGCAAGTAATTATGTGTGTTATGTAACCGATGTACTGTCTTAACAGCAGGAATGTAAATCAAAGTTTTTTCCTCAGGAACTGGAGCATGCTCTGATACCCTCTGTCTGTGCCCTTTCCTGTTCGTCGAGGATACAGAGCAATTAGCAGCTAATGAAATTAACGTCAGGTCCTACCTGTTACCCATGCTAGGTTATTGTAATTTGAGCAGTTACACACAGCTAGATTTTTTTTCCAAGTCCTGTGAGCAGGAAAATGTAACTTAATTAATCTATTTAGTTCCAACTTTCTTAAATAGAAGTTTCTTTTAATTCCGCTGGGCCAGGCTGGTTGCAGTTTGTATTATTATGTTAAATCCATCTTATTCCTCAGAGAAAGACTGGGGTGAGCTAAACAGCTAAACAGGGCCTTAAGCCATAAAGAGGCTGATTTTGACTGGCTCCTGTGTTCTGTGTTTTTCTTTTTTCAAACAAATCACTATTCAGGGCTGAAATCCGGCTTTCGGCCCATGACCACTGAGTCCTAGAGAGTCTTTCCATAAACAATCAACTCTCCCTCCTACCCTTGTATCACTCCCAGAGGGTTTTGCAAACAGCACGCATCAACTGAATGAGAGGCTCAGGGAACCTTTCAGGACACGTTTCTGACTCGAAGAAGGCCGGCATTCTCCGATGCTCGGCATCACGGTGACCTGTTGCAGGTCTGTTTCCTTCTGGCGCTGCCTCGGGGGCTGTGAAAATGAATTAGTTTTACACTTCTGCCCACATGCTGGGTGAGAAAGACATCACATGACAGGCGTGCTATTTATCAAGGCTGGCCACACTGTGTGAGTTCTCCTGTCCAGCTCCGCCCAGAAATAACACAAGACAACTTTATATGGGCTGCTGGTGCCGGCGGCCTGGGGGTGTTAGAAGATGCAGCACTTCACTGAAAGGAGGTTGGACAGAAGGCTTAGGGGAAGAATTCATTAACATAAAATTAAAACAAGGCCCCAGGGGGGACCTGCGTCTGATTGCGCTGACTGTAAAGCAACAAGTGAAGGTTAATTCCAGGCAGAAAAGTAGAAGAAGAAACACAATGCTAGTGGCACACACCTGAAGAAGTCTCAGCAGCCGAAATGTTGGATTTCTTCTGTCTACATCCCAGCGTGGACGTTTTCTATGATGGCGACTTTGCGGCCTTTAAATTTATCTGTAAATCTTTCCATCCCCTTTCTGCCTGCTTTACCCAATTCAGGGTCATGGGGGCGCCAAGGCCTATCCCAGCAAGCACCGGGGCGGAGGCAGGGTACGCCCTGGACGGGATGCCAGTCCATAGCAGGGCACACAAGACACAACACTCACACTCACACCACAGCCATTCTTCCCAGAAGCTATCAGGGGGAAAAAGCCTACCAGTATGGCTTTGGACTCTGAGGAAACCAGAGCACCCCGAGGAAACTCACACGAACATGGAGAAAACCTACAAACTCCACACAGAGAGCACCCCCAGGAATCAAATCCAGGTCTCCAAAGCCGAGAGCTAGTGCTGTCCTGCCTGTAAATTTAAAACAGTACGGCTTCCCGATTTGTGTTTTTGTTCTTCATCCTTTCTTTAGCGCCCTGTATTATGTTCAAACAGACTCTGTTTCACCTGGAAGGAAGTCCGTACATATGGATACAGCACAGACACACAGGGTGCCAGCAGCAGAGTAAAAAAAAACATACTAAACCTACACAAACTTCCTGAAGAAACACAAAGCGCAATCCCTCACTTTTCTTGTCCGAAGGCTTGGTGCTCCGTGTTCTGATTGCCGCGGAAACGGGGCTCACGCAGGAGTTGCTAGGGAAATGCAGGATTGGGAAAGGAAGGGATGGGGCTGTCGGTAATCAAGAGAACAGGAAGGTGGGTAGGAATCTACAGCATTGAGTATAAAGGAATTCAGTTCAGGTGCGTGACCAATTTTTCACCAAGCAAGAGCTATCTGCACTGCGCCATTCACTGTGACTGTTTCTGTTTGTGCAGGCTTTGAAAAAGCTCCTCTATTTTTCTGAAGGGATTAATGTTTTTTTTTTGTCCTTTTAAATCCTTTGTTTTTCAGCCAGACTCGGTGTCAGAGCTCGCAGGCCGCGTGAAGCCTTTAGCTAAGACGTGAAGTGACTCGGTGTGCTGGAAAGCGCTTGTTCACACAGACTTCTGGGCTTTTTTTTTTTGACCCACCTCTGCTCAGTGAGGTCCAGTGCGCGTTCCGTCCGCAGGCGGCACAGCTGTGGTGTTTCGGTGTTTCGTCATGTTTGAAGCAGAAGTTTCCACAGCATCGTCTGGGCCTTTAATTTGTTGATTTCCACCCTTTATTTAACAGTATAAATAAGGGCTTGCCTGTTCCCCCTGAAAATTCATCCCATCCAAACATCAAGCAGAATTAAAAAAAAAACATTTTGCTGGAAGACCTCGGACTTCAGACAAGCCAGTTGTGTTTACCATACCTCTGAATAACAGACTAAACTGACTTATGTCAGTTCAGTGCGTTGTTCTACCAAGTTCCTGCATTTATACTGACTACATTACAAAACACTGAAACGTTGAATGTGCTCCGCCATTTCGCTTATTTGTTGCTTTTTTTCCTCTCAAATGTTGGGGTTTTTTGGATGTCGTCGATAGTTTTGAATGGAGCAGTGGTTAGCACTGCTGCCTCACAGTACTGGGACTGTGGGCTTGATTCTGGACTTGGGGTGTTGTCTGTGTGGTCTCCCCCGTTCATGTGGGTTTCATCCTATAGTCCAAAGTTATGCTAGTAGGCTAATTGGCTTCTGGGAAAATGATCCTGTGTTCCTTTGAATAATTAGGATAATTGAAAATAAGATGAAACTTGCATGGGATACTGGCTCATCACCACTTAAGACCTACAAACATTGCAACCTCCTTTCAAATTGACTTAACTTATTGCTGGTTGAAGTTTTATCGGTTTTGTAATTGCTTTTTTTTACGTGCTGTCAGTAGGGGAAAAAAGTGAAGAATAACATTTTGTCTTGCTTTTTGGAGCCAATCAATCTTCAGTCCATCAGTGAGAGCTCGCTGAAAACTTTTAATCTAACTAATATCCAGCCTCTGCGGACCAGTGAAACGAGCTCGTTCTTTTTTTATATAATTCTGTCTTCGTGTTTTATCTGGGGTCTTTTTTTAGATTTGTCTCAGCTCAACAGAAATTGCTTGCAAACTGCAGTTATCTGATTTGAATCCGATTTGCTGGTTTATTTTTCATAGTAGTTAAAACAAACATGCAGTTTCTGTGTTGGAGAATTCGGGGTACACTACAGTAGAGGAAGTCCACAGCCCAGGAGAAAAACAGACAGTTTTTTTACAGGGGAGGAGACACAGGCACTCAATTAGGTGATCAAATCACTGTTTCCAGCTTTTTTAGGCCTACTGCCATTGCTTAAATGCTGTAAATGCCCCTTTGTAAGCCACACACATTATTTTAAGTAAAGGTGCATTAATATTTCATTCAAAATTCAGCAAAGTTGGCTCTCTTACTACTTGAAACCAATTTTAAATAAATAACAAATGATTGTCCTTAAAAGACAGGGACTCAGACCTTCTCTGTTTCGTGTTATGTCTGCATTGATCCAATTTCACCCATCTTCAAAACTGCACACGCAGACGATCGGGTCTCTTTATTTTTTTGTATGTTGTCCCACATTGCCAAATGGATTTCACGGCTCTTGGTGGTTCTTTTTGTCAAAGGCCCTAGGAGGCGGAGTCCTGTGGAAAACTTTGTTCAAATCCAGGTCAGAGCCAGAAGCCCCGCGATATGGGGGTCCCCCTCGATGGTCAACATTCCATCTAAAAATCGCCCTCTCCTGCCCTCTGCGGTTTAACCCACCCCTGCTCTCGCTCCCCAGGGGAGGCCCCCTACTGGACGCGGCCCGACCGGATGGAGAAGAAGCTGCTGGCGGTCCCGGCGGCAAATACGGTGAAATTCCGCTGCGCCGCCGCCGGGAACCCCACCCCCACCATCCACTGGCTGAAGAACGGCAAGGAGTTCAGGGGCGAGCAGAGGATGGGGGGCATCAAGGTGAGAGGGCGTCTGCTGTCACTCACCCTGCTCCGTCACCACGGCTGTTTGGTTGTTAACATTTCATTCTCATTCAAAAGACATTCTTCCTCCATAGACTGGTTCCAATTCCATGTACTGCTTCCAGTTGCAAATTCTAGTTGCAGTTCTATATTCTGATTCTAGTTGCATTTGTTCTAGTTCCATGTTCTAGTTTTAGTTCTGCGACCCACACTTAAGTTTCATATGCTGGTTCTAGTTCCATATTCTAGTTGTAGTTCTAGGTTTTAGTTCCATATATGGTATTGGTGCTAGTTCCATATTCTAGTTTTAGATCTATATTCTAGTTTTAGGTCTGTATACTGGTTCTAGCTCCATATGCTGTACTATATGGTAGTTCCAGGCATTGGAGGGAACTGCTTCCTTCAAGAGCTAGTTCTTCCTCCATATTCTGCTGCTTGGTATCAGTCTGATCTCCTGTTTCAGACTGTGAACGATGACCGGGGTTAAACCGGAACTGGTGATTGCTGAAAAGAGGGGCTGAAAGATTAACTGGCAGACCGAGACTAGGAGAGAGGGCCTCCCAACAAATTCAGACCCACAGCACAGCTCCATCTCTCTTTGTACCGACAACACCAGACCATCATAACTCAGGAAAATAAACCTTGTGTAGTTGAGCCAGATTTATTGAGATC